TTATATCAACTTTCTTGACTCCAAATTATCAAAAACAATGTTTATATTCGTCCATTCAAGTGGATTTTACTTGATGAAAATCAATATTTGAAAAATTTAAAAGGGTTCACAAAACGCCAGTGAACCCTTTTAGTGAAAATCGTACACAGAACTGTATAATATATTTTACTAATGTATCGTTAGTTAACACCAAAAAGAAATGTGCCACTTTAAAAAAAAAACTGATTTTACAAATTTTTGGAAGAATTTCATTTGTCTTGTCGAATAAAAAATTGTCAATACATCATACCGAATGCGTCTTGTATATTCTTTGGTTCAGTTTGGTGGAATAAAATGTATAAAAATTATGTTGACTAATTTTTTTCGGACGATAATACATGACATATGAAGTAATCGATTTGAAATAAAAACTTTTTGAACAACTGAACTTGTATGAAATTCATGATGAATTCATTATATAATATCAAATAAATCGTGGCATTCGGACTAATCAGAAGAAAGATGGAATATCGGGAAAACCTTACTCTCGCTTACATGGCGATGGCTCTATCAACAAAGAGGAAGATTAAATGAAATGAATAACAACGTCGTGATGAATCAACAAATGGAGATTTCTGACTACAGGAACCTTCCAGAAATTCAATTCACCAACAAAACCACTGACATACCTACTTCACAAAATGAAACATATTCTGCAGCACTTACAAAAAATCAATTTCCATCCAGAGAACAAGCAATTATCTTCACTTCTATTGAAGGAATCAAATTGCAAGAATACATCTTTGGGCTAGGAGCGATTGTACATCCAAGAAATATTATCTTTTCTTCGAGAATATCTAATAACAGAATATGTATATACCTATCCAACAAAGATATTATCGAAAACTTTATGACTCAACATGGTTCCATCACAATAAACAACCAACTTATCCAAGCTCGACGTCTAATAACCCCAGCAACACGTTAGGTTCTATCAAACATTTGCCCTTCGATTCCACATCACATTATAGAAACTGAACTGAAGAAATTAGGACTAAACCTAGTATCACCAACTTCATTCTTGAGGATTGGTGTATCTGATCCCGAATACAGCCACATCGTGAGTTTTCGTCGTCAGGTATACATTGGTACTACCAATGTCACACTTCCAGAATCACTTCCCATATCCTATGAAAACATATCATACCGCATATTCGTGTCACAAGACAATATGACATGCTTTAACTGCAAGCAATCTGGCCACTTAGCATCTCAATGTACAAGAGCAATTACTCAGTCACCACCAGACCAAACTATATCTACGAAAACCCCAGCACAAGAAGATCATCCGAACAGCATTGAGAATACACCGATAGCACTACCACAACCTCTGGGGGAAAACCCATTGTTTTCGCCCATACCTCTCGAAATCACCCAAAACATCATGGAATCAAAAGCTACCTCCTCAACAACTGAATCACAGATAGACACACAACCTGCACCTAAAAGAACCTTAGCAGATATCCTTACACCTCCAATTGAAAGTAAACCCAGCCAAGATAAAACATTAGATGATATATTCACCAAACCAAAAAGTAAAAAAATATAAGCATGTAACTTCCAATGAAAAGCCACAAATGTCAATACTAAACATGATGGCACCTGCTAAGGAGTTCATCGAATCACATTCTCCGCCGTTCATTCTGAAGTATCATCAAATTGCTGACCTATTTGAAAACACTTTCGGTTCACACGAACCAGAACAAATAGCATTAGGATACACCAAAGAACTACTTCCTCTGTGCAATATGCTAGAGAAAATCTACCCTTACTTCACAGAGAGAAGTATAAAAACACGATGTACCAAGCTCCGCAAACGAATTCTGAGATACATCGACAGTACCTTAACAGAGGGAGAGAGCGACTCATCACAAGATACCACCTATTAGTGGATCATGCATTAATATTTCAAATGGCTCCAAAAACAATTATTCAGTGGAATATCAACGGTTACTTCTGCCATTTGGATATGTTACAAGTCCTCTCTTCGGAACATAACCCAGATATAATATGTTTACAGGAAACTAATTTCAAGAACGATAAAGAACACAGACCAAAAAATTTCAACAGTTTTTTTCGTGACAGAAACTCCCAAGAGAAAGCCAGTGGAGGAGTAGTTATTTACACAAAACTAGAAATTGATGCGGAACCATTGACCCTCAACACAACTTTGGAAGCGGTAGCTATCACAATCCGAGACCACTCCACCCTAAATATATGCAACGTCTATATTCCTCCAAGCCATGAGGTAACTCAAGCGGAACTGAACGACCTAATAAAACAAATAGCGTCAACACCTAGAATGATAGTTGGGGATTTCAATGGACATAATATCATCTGGGGAAGTAAAAACACAAACCGTAGAGGATGAACGATATCCGACACACTTCAATACTTCGACCTATCAATCCTCAACAATGGGAATAATACAAGATTCAACGCCTTTGACGGTAGTTCAACAGCCATCGATCTAAGTATATGCGACCCAATTCTACTGGCCACAACATCTTGGGAGGTACTACCTTTTTTATATGGGAGCGATCATTTTCCTATCAAACTCACTCTTGATGGAAATGATACAACAACGACAATACCATTTTATAGATGGAATTTGAAAAATGTTGACTGGAACTCATTCACAACACACATCGAGAATAATATAGAAAAGTACAGCGAAACAGAAAACGACTTAGAACAGAAATTGAACCACCTCTACAATGTGATTCTAGAAGCTGCAGAGAAAACTATAGGAAAAACTAAACACCTCAAAAAACATCATCCAGTCCCATGGTGGAATAATGAATGCTGCGAGGACATAATACAAAGTAAACATGCCTTCAACAGATTTAAACGACATAAGACACAAGAATTACAGATTATTTTCAAAAATCTGAGAGCAAGAGCAAGATGTGTAATAAAAAGAAGTAAGAAAGAGTCCTGGAAACACTATGTATAAGAAATAAAATCATCAACACCAATGGCAGAAGTATGGAAAAAAGTTAAGAAAATAAATGGAAAACAATCTCATATCGGCATTAATTCACTTACTCATGAGGGAAATTTAATAAAGGACAATAGAGATGCAGCAGAGATACTAGCTAATAACTTCAAGAATCATTCAAGCAGAATGACCTATGACCCTGATTTCAACCTGAAGAAAGATATGGAAGAAGAAAAAAAATCTCATTATTAAAGACCAACATCATACATCACCCATTAACTCGAATATATTACAACATGAATTTGAAGACGCACTAATTAGCCTTAAAATTACTTCTCCTGGGCCAGACGACATACCAGCTATTTTTCTACAAAAACTACCTAAATCTGCTAAAGCATATCTTCACGAATTTATAAATGACTTATGGAGACAACAGAAATGTCCTCACCAGGGTCAAGAAGCCACTATAATACCAATTAAAAATGCCTGGCAATAAAAAATTGATGTTTGGTGGATCTATCTAAAGGCAAAAAATTGAAAATTACGCTTTAAAAAACTCTTTTAAAGTTAAGGATTTTTACCTGTGCAGGTAGGATGCGCATTAATAAACGCAACCACTACCGCTAGCCAGGTAGTCCGGACTCTAACTAAAAGAGAAAGAAAGACAGCATATTAAAAAACCAACTGTTCTGAAATTCTTTCTCAAAAACGTTGCTAGCTCCTATACTAAATACTCCAGCATCACCTACAACAGCTAGAACTCTGGTCTAAATCAACAGGACTCACTTTCTCTTCAGAAAAAACAAAATTAATACTCTTTTCGAAAACACACATCAGAGACCGACCAACACTACAACTCTATGGCAAAAATCTGGAATATGTTGACGAAATTAAATTTCTTGGAATGATTTTCGATCAAAAATTAAACTGGAAATCACACATACACCATCTCATCAGAAAGTGCCAAGGAGGTTTGAATTTACTGAGGATGCTATCCAATACAACATGGGGTGCCGACACAACTACACTTATTCGACTCTACAGATCCCTTGTTAGATCCAGAATCGACTATGGATCAATAGCATATGCTTCTGCAAACCAGTCGACAATCCGAAAACTAGACGTTGTTCAAAGTACAGCACTTCAAATAGCATTAGGAGCTCATCGAACAAGCCCAATCGAAAGCTTATCATGCGTAGCAAATGAAATCCCATTAAGGTACCGTAGACAATATATGAATCTCTCTTATGCTACTTCTATTGCAACCAAACCAACACATTGTACATATAATAATGTTTTTTCAAGTCGTTTCAAACAAAATCTCACGGGACATCCAAGGACTGACCCTCCTTTTTACGAAAGGATAAACAAATATTTAGAACAATTAGGGTATGCACTTCCTCCATTATTTTCCAACTCCATAACTACCCCTCCTCCTTGGATGATCAATCCTCCTATATGTGACTCCTTTTTATCCTGTTTCACAAAAAATGACACTCTCCCCCAAATTCTACTGAACTTATTCAAACAAAAACTAACCCTTTATGAGAACCATGTAATTCTGTACACCGATGCTTCAAAAACAGATCAGGGAGTTGGGTCAGCTGTTGTATCGTCGGACGAAACATTAAAATACAAGCTTCCCCAAGCCACATGTATATATACAGCTGAACTATTCGCAATACTGCAAGCATTATTATTTCTGAAAAATCATCCCGCTGATAGATTTCTAATTGTAACAGACTCTTTGAGTGCTATTAAAAATAGCATTAAATTAAAATATTGACTCAACCTATATACATTTATACACAATATAACTACTTTAAAAAGAAAAACTTACCTTTTGATATTGCCCAATGGTGATATGTACTTTGGAATAATTGTCTTCACTCTAAGAATATCATTTAAATCACTATTACTGATTTGATCATCAGACGTCTCATCAAGGTTTTGTTGAATTCTTGATGGTTCAGTGGAAGATGTATTTGAATTTAGTTCCATAAAATCCGGGGATGATATCTTTTTTTTTGGAGTAGATGTAAAAGTTGGTGGATGCTTGTTAACCACAACTGCCTTTGATCTGAAAAAATTAATTTGGACAAACTTGAATCTCATTCATTAATACATATTGAATTTTGTCTTGTAATATCAGTGCTAACTTTCCTAAAAGCATAATTTTTAAGTCATTGGCAAATTTGCCTTTATTATGGCCAATCTGCCCCCATCAGTGTAGTTTGTCAACATCTCTCGCCTTGACCACAATATACCAGTAAGCTGTGCTTTGGTTAAAAGACATCAAAATCGCTGTCGCAACCAGACGAATACCGAAACATCATTGTTTTAATCGATAACTACTGATTTTTATTAAAGGTTACAAAAGTGGTGATACGTGTCGATATTCGTAAGAAAAGTTCATAGAGTATCTTCCAGTGCTACCAGATGTATCACTTTTGAGGTAGATTCACCATTTTGTGTCTTTATTTAACGTTCTACTGTCTCGGAACATAATTTCTACCGCTAAACTTGACTCTCACAAAATGTGGTACTGCTGTAAGCAGAAAGCGTTTATATATTTTTTAATTTTTCTGTCACACATTTTCATTTCGAACAACCAATGACTTGACAGTTTATTGTTATTATTCATAAAACATATTCTAATTAACAACAGGTTTTACATACTTTTCTTTCATTAGAAGTAACTGTAAAAGTTCGAAATCTTATTCAACGAAAGTCATTTTTTGTGGAGGAAAAAATCAGTTTTTTTATCGACCTTTTTTGGGTAATTGTTACCTTCCACAATCTGAAAAAATATAAAAATTATAATGGAGAACTTTATACAAGTGTAGAAGGGCAAACTTTTTAGTTTACCCCGATAAGTTACTGCGTAAAAATCAAAGTATTTTTCACAAAGAAAAATCTTCTATTTATCAGTAACTTGTCGTATTTAACAATTTTGCCTATCAAAAAAATTATTAAGAAATAATACTTATCTTTTACATTTCGGAGGCCAAAATCTGCCTCCGTCTTCAGAAATGGATAAAAAATTCGAATATATTCGCAGTTATTCCTTTTTTGATAGCTTATTTCTTTACTTCTTCGACAGATGTCAAAGAAGTAAAAAAAACTTCTTTGACATCTTTTTATCCATTTCTGAAGACGGAGGCAGATTTTGATAAACAAAATTGTTAAATACGACAAGTTACTGATAAATAGAAGATTTTTCTTTGTGAAAAATACTTTGATTTTCACGCAGTAACTTATCGGGGTAAACTAAAAAGTTTGCCCTTCTACACTTGTATAAAGTTCTCCATTATAATTTTTATATTTTTTTCAGATTGTGGAAGGTAACAATTACCCAAAAAAGGTCGATAAAAAATTCGAAATCTTATTAAAACTGAAAAAATCTAAGTAAGGTCGGCGACATTTCCTCTTACGAAGACGACATCTATTGGATCGACAGAGAACTTTTATATCAACGATAAACGAGGCTCCCCAAGGCGGCCAATTGCTTCGACATCGACCTTCGACGAGATTCGTCCTCCGTGGTTCAATGCAGCTTTCACTGCAAGGCAATTAGTTCGAAACCAGAACCCAAACAGAACGAATTCATTACTCAACACCAGACAGCGTTGTTTTGACCCGACAAAGGTCTCGTCAGTGGTGCTAGGATGATCCACGAATGCGTTGCTGGACTCGACTGTCCTTAGAGGCCAAACCTGATTAAGTAAGGCAGACAATTTCTCCCCTTACAAAGATGCCACCTATGGGATCGACAGAGATCTTAGTCCTCGAATATCAAAGATAAAAGAGAGTCTGAATTTCAGCTAGTTGCTTTGTAGTGAAACCTGAAATACTGAATTAAAATTCTTATTGAATGTATTGCACCTGAATTCAATTAACTTGAGTTCTTTATAAAGTTAGGGGCACACTCAGCACGAAAATCAATATATGATACATTTTTCAATATTAAAATCGTGATTAAATCATAAAATACATAAATGTAAGGGATTGCGCAATATAGAAAATGTCAGATAACTCCTTATATGAAAAAAACATTTATCGAATTTCCCACAGCTGCAATGAGGACTTCGAAAGCAATGGAGTAATTATTGAAGCTACTACTCTATTCCAGGGTTCAGAATTAACTAATCTGAAATATACACTGAGATCGGACACAAAAAATCTTAAAAAATATTGAATAAGTTAAGGCATTACTCACCCATTTTTTTTTTCAATTCTTTCTTTTTTGGCTATCAACTCCTTCACATAAATAGAGAAATTTATGTGTGTATTGTGCAGGTTCTTCTTTGCCTCTTTCAGTTCCTCTAATAACTTCTTAATTTCCTGGTCATATTTTTTTCTCTCTGTTGTAGCTTCATTAATTTTCTTGATGATAGGTGTAAGAATAACATATTTTTCTTCTATCTGTAACCTTTGTTTCACGGTCTATTGTTATGAGATCCATAACAAATTAGATTTTAAATGCAATGATGAAATACATAAAATTAATGAAAATTCTATCCTTTTCAAGATTGAAAAGATGGAATTACTTAAATTTCAGTGCGCTAGAAGTGAAGAAGGAAGGGCGATGAACATTTAATTCCATGAAAATGTAAAAATACGTAACTATACAAATTTTCGAATCATTTTTATAGTCGTACATAGGTGTATACCTTGAAAAGTCAATTTATAAAGATTGCTCAATTTTTATGTTTGATGTTTGTATTATTGTGGAAACTCACAAGAAAACTTTGGATGTTACTAGAAAATTTATGAAGTACAAAACGGAAAAATATTCTATCACAAAATTCGCTGAAAGAAACAATCAACATCAATTCTAAAAACTAAAGTACAATATTATTTTTGAAAATTGATGTGAATTAATTCAAAATACAACTGTTTCTCAATAATGATCAATAATTTTGAACTAGCATGCATTCGTGAACATTATTCAGGAGAAAGAGATACTTCATTTTTCAATTTCATGGTTTAACGCATTTGTGTAATTGATGACTTATTCATTTTGTGGAAATTCATGATCACTTCAATGAAATGAATAAAAACACTTTTGTCTCATCTAGTTAGTTTTTATACTTGATAATGGGATAAAACCCGAAACCGGCCGTAAAAATAAAATAACTAGTAGAAATTAGAAAAAGGTGTTTTCATTCATTACATTGAAGTGTTTAACTTATACTATATACCTTTTTTAGACACTGTTAAGGATATGCAATAAAATTGTACCTACACGTCTATATGTGACACATCGGTGACACGAGTAGATTGAACTCCTCGTGACACGAAAAGATTAACTTTGTAGGTACGTGTGGCAGATAGCCAACGGAAAAAACAACCTAACCTAACCCAGCTATTGCCGCGCAGAGAGTTGAAGTAAAACCATTAGGCACCTGTGCGGCGTCTTCATTTTGGAAGATTCGTCGCAAGTTATTTTCCACTATGAAAAGCAAAAATTTATTTCAGGTGTTGATGTGACCAACCGATGGACCGGTTTCGAGGTACTTGCTCCATCATCATATATAAAGCACACTCCCATTTTTAAAAAGGATTATTCTGTATGTTATTCAATTTTCAGATCCTTCGATCAGTATAAGAGCAAGTTTCATTAAGATTTAATTTACCTAAACCGGTTTTTTGTAATATCTCCTATTCAAGAAACACTTTATTGTGGAATTTTCACTAAGCAGTTTTACACGTGTTTTGCTATAAAATAGCTTTTTCAGGCGTGTCTTTGATAACTATAATCAACATATTCAATGCTTTATATATATTTTCACGATTTGAAGTACCTGAGCTTTACCTACCCAATTGAAATGGGTACAATTGGACACGCCTGAAGAAGCTATTGTATAGCGAAAGACGTATTGCGTTTTTGCAACACTGTTTAGTGATAATTTCACAATACTGTAGTACTTCTTGAATATGTTCTGAATTTTCATCAAGTATCGGCCGATTCCATCACACATAATATCTCCTATTTTGTGAAAATGTAGTGTCAGTTTAAATGCTTCAATTGTCAATGAGCGTTTTATTATTTTTAAGTAAAGTAACGCTATTCACTAATTTATACAAGATGTGTGAAAATTAAGGCACAACAATGACAATCATTAAACAGCAGGTTTAAGTTGAATGGAACGCCCTGTATTTTATGACCAGAGCTGATGTTATATTTGATTTTTTATTGAATACATTCCCTTTTTTCAAGGACAAAACACAAGCACTACAGGAAAATCCTTAAGACGCTCTAAGGGCGGTGCCTGTGCGAAAGTAGCGATTCACGTTGGATTTTAATCGCTTCCTCAGGAAGTTCATTCCACACAAATGTAGTTGTCCAAATGAAAGACGTCTCAAATAGTGAAGTTTGAAGTATACACAGTTGAACCTCAAAACAATGATCAGCCACAGTCCGTCGCGTATTTCTGATATGTACCGCTCTTGGTGGAGTCAAATGTGCCACGAGTCACTTGAACACCTCCCTGAAAGTATCTATAAAAGAGAGACAAATCTTCCAACCTTTCTTCAATGTTCCAGACTATTAAGGTTGCAAGTGATGATCGTGTCTTCAATCAGGCGAATGGATCTTTCCTGGATGGAGTCCAGCAGCTTCAGGGTAGGCTTGGCGGCAGAGCTCCATATATGTGAACAATACTCCAAAGAAGGTGTGATCTAAGCTTTATAAAGTTAACTCTTCACGTTTACAACTAAAATATAAGTACATTTCCATTATGCAAATCGATTTTAAAAAATTCATTATTTATCAAGTCGCCTATGGTGTGTTTCGACCATCTAAAAGAACAATTCGTTCAGGCCAGTCTCAACTCCCTACACTGTAGGTTAATGGACTGACACATATCAGAAAACAACTACTCCCCTGTCCCCTGTTCCCCTATTGCGGCAGTTGTATCGCCAACAGCATATGCAGGAATAATTTCCGTGAAAAATCCTGCACTGACACCTGTCGGATATAATCCAACGCCCTTCGTGGTATCAGCCAGGGGAGTAGTTGTTTTCTGATAGGTGTCAGTCCATTAACCCAGAGTGTAGGAAGTTGAGACTGGCCTGAACAAATTGTTCTTTTAGATGATTTGATTTATAGCCAGTCTTCGAGTATGCTTACTAACTATATGTGAGAAGTTGTATTATATATACAGATCATCCAATTGAGGCCAAAAGAAGTTGGTAATTTGGCTCAATGCGTCTGAATGGAAGCGAAAGCCAATAACATAGAGAGAGAGAGAGAGAGAGAGAGCGAGATAAGTTGGTAATTAGCGACCAATAGTGCTCGCCGTTGATAGTGATAGCCTGGCCAAAATCCACGCCAAACAGTGACTTTTTCGGGACGCATTAGACGCTCTTGGATCTCTTGAGGATTGGTATCGTCCCAAGTTCAACATTTCCGTTTGTTCACGTACCCATTCATTCAATATTTATTTTTTACCTTATTTTGATTTAATATTGAAAATCAAAATATCTGCTTTTTCAAAAGAGTCAATCACTGCCATATATCATCAAATCTGTTTTTTTAAATCTGTTTTTCCGTTAATCAGCTGTCGCCCCCACACGAACGACAACTCTCAGAAGTTGAGAAACTTGTGCGAGCTAAGGACTAACGAGGTCTTACCTTTTAACGTGTGATTCCTAACACGTCAATCTGAAACAACTCTTTAAATGACATATTATTCAATCAGCTTTGTGTTGCTAATGATGAAGATTTCAACCGATTGCTATTTCACACATAAGTGCGTTGGTTATCAAGAGGTAATTGTCTGACTCGATTTTACAATCTATTTGACTCTGTAATAGAGTTCTTGGAAAACAAAGACAAAGAATTGCACGACAACCTCATCACTTCAAAGAATGATATTGCGTACTTGACAGACCTGTATAAATTATTCAATGATGTCAATCTCCAACTTGAAGGTGACGACTTGAATTTGATTAAAACAAAAAATGTCATTGCTGCTTTTGTAGCCAAATCGCTCTTATACAAGAATAATATCGGTAGACGTGTGTTTCGCAATTTCCATAATTTGTCAGCAGTATCCTTCAACAACGACGACTTGCTTGTTACTACTAACATTTAGAACCTCCACAGTGATTTCGCAGAACGATTCCAGGACATTTTAAATTTGGAAATACTGGACTGGGTGTTGGATACTTTTTCAAATGTCAACACAGCAAGATTACCCCAGCTGGAAAAAGAAATCATAGAACTGATAACGAACGAGGAAATAAAAATAAAAAATGGATACCAAGAATTTTGGCTACAAAAGCCAATCCCGCAATTGTATCCTGGATTGTGGTCCATCGTTCAACAATTTTTGATAGTATTCCCATCATCGTATTTGGGTGAACGTATTGCTGTGGCAACGTTGCTAACTAAAAAAGGCCGTTTTTGAGTAAATTCGAGCCTGATATTAACAAACTTGTTAAAAATCATCAAATTCATCCTTCACATTAGATTAGTTTTAAAATTCAAATTGAACGCGGCGACTTATGGCTGTTTTTGAGTAAATTCGAGCCCGATATTAACAAACTTGTTGAAAATCATCAAATTCATCCTTCATATTAGATTAGTTTTAAAATTGTAACAATGAAATATTTTTTGTTTGAAAATGTTTATGATTTGGTTAGGAAAATGTTTTATTAACCGCCGGAAACGTATTAGTATTATATATACCGTTTTGGGAGGTACCATGACCATCCCATTTGGTTTTTTCTATATTAAAATAATAATCGGCCTGTCGCAATCTGTCAACCGCCGATAACAGCGAATCAGTTCCTACCAACACCGCCAAAATGTGCGGAGGAAATATGACGCGCAATGGTTGCTATTAATTGTTCACTACTATACGGGGGTTGTAAATGTCTGGCCATTGATAAATATTTATTGAAATAATTTACAAAAGAACCGTCACTTTCCCTATATCTCGCAGACTCCAACTTTATTTTCAGTTGCAATTGCCTTGTAGCTCCCTAAACATGATCCAAGAAAGCTTTTCGAAATTTTTGATAATAATAATCAAAAGTATTCGGGAATGCATCAAACCAAAGTTTTGCTGATCCCTCAAACAAGTTACTGATGCAGAGTGTAAATTGGTTGAAACTTACGTTACTGACATCTGAGAATGTTTCAATATAATTCAAGAAATCTAGGGGGTGTAAAACCCTCGTTATTAAAGGTAGGCAATGATTTACAGGCTTTCAGAACCCCGAAATTATTCTCTCTGGGTCTGTTATTCATTTGACTACAATTTGGTATAGGGCAACTATTATTCCATACTATCAGAGAATTTTGGTTATTAGGCAACCCAAATTTTGTTTATTTTTATGCTAAACCTAAAGGAAGGCAAAATCTCGATTGAAAATCGTACCCAGTTACATTACTACTATCCCTTCTTCCTATTGTTACAGTCGGGTACGTATTCAACATAATTACTATTTTTGTTAATTTCGGGAAGAGCCAGTAATGTTTTTCTCACTTCTCTGATATTTTCTGTTAATTGCTTCTGGAACAGAGTTGAACATTCATTTAATACCGGATTGGAATCCGTGACTGTACTCATTGTAATGTTTCTTCCTGGATGTGGTACCGAAGTGGGTTTCGCATAAAATGGCAAGGAAGTCGCTCCAAGATGTGGAAAATCAGAATGTGACACCTCCGGCAATGATGTAGGTGGAACATCTCCTTGAGTTGATAAAGAAATTTGAAAATCGTTACCTTGTTCTTTTCTATGAATTGTTCGGTGGGAATTTCTATTTACCATCGATTCGGCACTTTGCTCCTGATTAATCATTCCTCCTTTGAATCTCAAGTTATATGTTGGGCTCGCCATCATAAAACAGAAAAAAAATCCTGGCCACTAGTTGGTCGCCAAGTTGTAAAGAAACAGGTAACGAGTAAACGTAAAATAATTCAAAGGAGAAATGCCTGTGTTTTGCTACAAAACATTAAGATGCGAAAATAGTTGTTCAAAATATTAAGATTTAAGGGAATTTTATCTGAAAAATGTGACTGC